CAATGAACCCTGAAGTCCCAATGGCTTAAAACTACAAGGGTTCCTTTCTTGCTCTTACTACATGTACATAATGGGTAAGAAGGCTTTGCTTGTCACTGTCACTTAGGGACCCAAATGGACAGAGAACTGGTGAACACTTCTAGTTCCCCCTTGTCAGAGGGAAAAATAATTCAGCTAAGCGTGCACCAGCTCTTTAAAGCTTCTTCCCAAAGCAAATCTCATAGCATGCTCAACTTAAGTGGGCAGAGAAGTATAATCCTATCCTATGCCAGAATACGAATATTTGTGAACATCCCTAACCACTACTAGACCTTGAAGTCAGAGAAAACACCTTTGATATCTGCTGTATACTAGTCTTTTATTGTTTGACCACTTTAAAAACCAAAAAAACCCATGTCTGTTGCCGTAGAGATGATTCTGAGTCATAGCAACCCTTTAGGACAGAGCAAAACTGCCCCATAGGGTTTCCCAGGCTGTAATCTTTACAGAAGCAGACTGCCAAATCTTTCTCTCATGGAGCGGCTGGTGGGTTTGAACCACCAACCTTTCAGTTACCAGACAAGCACTCAACCACTGCACCACCAAGGCTCTTTTTGACTTTACAAAGATTATATATAGTATTACCTTCCCATTTAAGAATATAACCATGCACAGAGCTGAAAAACTGTTACTAGACTATGGGGTGAAACTGAGGGACTTCTATCTAATTACAGTAACCATAAGTTCAATTTTAAGAGTTGCTAATAAATTTTTGTTTAAAAAAGTTCATGTCTGCCAAGACTAAAATAATAAACTAACTCAATTTCCCCAAAGAATTTTTAGTTTTTCTTTCCACTAAACAGATTATTCTAATAAACTGGCAATGATACATTTCTTCATTTGTCTTAAAAATGTGCAGCTCTTTTAATTATCAGAATAAATGTGCAAATGTAATAATCAGGTTTCATTAAATTTACAGAAAAGAAAACTGAAACTTCAGTCACACAGCAGTTAATACAGGTGCTAACATTTTATTAAGAAAGTTTTCAAATATATGGAAAAGTTGAAAAAACCTGCTCAGTGAATATCCATAAAGCCAATATCTAGAGTTTATATTTAACATTTTTCTATACTTGCTTCATTGCATTATCTATCCATCTATTCATCGATCCATCTTGTTTTTGATTCACTGCGAAGTTGCAGACAGCACTATACTTTAGCCCTGAACACAACACTAGAGTTTGATATGTTTGTTATGGTCTATGTTTTTAAAGTAAAAGTTATACAGTAAAATGCACAAATGTTATGTGTACACTTGGATAAGTTCTGAAAAATGCATTCATCCATGTAACCAAGATATACAACATTTATCATATACAACATCTCCACTGTTCTACAAAGTTCCCCTCAAGGCGATCTGAACATAAGATTTGTCTCCAAGTCCATAATCTTTTTCACAACACTATATACCTTTTATTTAAAGGTCTAAAGTATAAATATACTAACAACATTAAGAATTTTATTTTTAGTCCTCAGTAATTAGGGTATTTGAAATATGGAAATTTGAAAAGAAGATACTGGTGCACCCTCCACCAAGACCAGACAGCCTACTTGTTTAATATCTGTAGCAAGTTGACTGTATAGCCTCCCCTCGACCAACTCACACTAAATAAATTAAAAACTACTTTTCTTCCCTCCACAAGAGTTCAAGAGTTAATCCAGGAAGAATGGATGTGGCTAGGAAAACCATCTCATGTGTTCATCTCTTGTATTTTCAATTAAACGAACAGATCTCTGGGGCAAGACCATTTCTTATGCTTGTAAGCCAAGCACTAGATTAAGTACTATATGCATAGTGGTTGCTGTGGGGCACTAGGGGAGCAGGAGAAAAAAACAAAAGCTTTGTTATCAGACAGACATGGGTTCAAATGTTTTCTTACTTAGAAAACTAGCTATGTAACAAATTACTTAACTTCTCTAAGCCTCAGTACATTATCTGTAGAATGAGGTCTATATTTTGGCTTACTTTCAACTCTAAGTTATCTTAAAGAAATGACCTAAACCCAGACCCAGTCAAGAGGCCACTACCCTGGACTTCAAGCTTTAGGGGGACTGGTCCTCTTCCAGCCACACCCTTTTGACATTGGAGTCAAAAAGACATACAAACCATGAGCCCATGCCCCTGCCACAGACTATGCTCTGGGTAATCTACCCGTTACCATCGAGTCGATTCCAACTGATAGCGACCCTAGACCCAAGAATTCCCTACCCAAATTGCAGCAAGCCTGATTTCCAAGGTTTGCAAGGATCTATCCCTGGGTCCTTGTTCCTAAGGAGTTGTAGGAAGAGCTTGAATGTGAAGACACGGGTGTTCGCACATATGTGTAAAGCTGCCATTCAAAGTATTGGATGGAGTGTGAGTAGCAAGAGTAGGGGAGTAAGGGTGAGAAGATGGGGTGGGCTTCGCCAATGTGGACGCATTCTGGCATGTAACTCTGAAGAATCCAATTCTCACCTGGTCTTACAGGTCCATAAGGAGGACAAAATATATCTTATTTAATGGTCTGTTCGTTTGACTTATATGGTACATATATAGTACGTGAGTCTTCATTTGTGCTTGCCCCAGATCTTGCAAATGTTACAAGTGGGACTGTCTACATTTACTTCTAATGACACATATCTATGTACCACTTGTCACATTCTCTTTCAAATATTATATTTAATCATACAATATTTTGAGTTAGATGTCATTAATCCCACTGCATAGATACAGAAACAGACATGCTTAAGAAACCTATCTAATGTCATTTTCTTCAATGTCCACATCACTCTTTTCATAACTCTTAAATATCTGGGTTTCCTCCTCTGCCATATCATCAATAATGTATCCTACAAAACAAGGTAAAGTGTCCCTATTTCCTAAATCCAGTTCTTATTCTCCATGACTTCTCTACAGCATCTGATAATGTCAACCATTTCCCCCTTCTTAGAACAGTTTTTCTCCTTTGGCTTCTAAGGCTGCACTATTCCAGTTCTTCTCCTGACCTTTTGCTTTTTCTCACATTTTTTCTGAAGGATTAACAAGCTAATGTTTGTGGATACTGTCAGGACAGAGCACATGTCCAATAAATGTTAGAATTTTTTTTTTTAAATATAAAAAGCAGCATAAAAAGAATAGCTGCCATTTTTAGTTCAGTGGTACAGTGTCAATTCTGTAATATATATTGCACTAAAAAAAACAAAAACCAAACCCGTTGCCGTCCAGTCGATTCCGACTCATAGCAACCCCAAAGGACAAAGTAGGACTGCTTCCATAGGGTTTCCAAGGAGTAACTGGTGGATTCGAACTGCCAATCTTTCGGTTAGCAGCCGAGTTCTTAACCACTGCACCATCAGGGCTCCTATACTGTACTACGTGATATACATAATTATATATGAAATACATACGTGTGTGTGTGTGTGTGTGTGCGTGTGTGTGTGTATAATTCCTTTTATCGTAACAACCCCATTTTAATAACTGAAACCCAGATTGGTTAACGGATTGACCTGTGATAGAAACCTGGCTCCAATCTTTTCTAGCTTTATGACCCTGGATAAGTCACTTAACTTCCCTGAGCTTTTCTCTCCCCATCTCTGTAATTTATAATGTTCTTGTAAGAATAAAATGAAACACAGGATATAAAACGCACAGCATATGGCACATATTCAATCAATGTTATCTCCCTCCTCCTCTTATTGTTTCCAGATGAACAGTTTTCTCTCCACCTTGTGTGCATTTCCAAAAATTACGCCCTTTAGTTGCATGACCTTCTCTCTTTACACTCTGTATCTACATTATATCATATCTGCGAATATAACTCCTCCAGAAAGATGCCTCTGAGTTATCTGTGTCCCCATCTCCCTCTAAAACTCCAGGACCATATCTCCAAGTTTTGCTAGTTATTTCTACTTCAGCAACCCACTGCTTGCCATTTCAAACTGATCCTCTTCCTCACAGAACTAAGAATGGAAAGCAAAAGGCCGGGGGCATAAAATATTTATAAAGGTAGACTGAATAAGATGAATAACAAAGGAGCTACTTTCACAGTTTCAAGCTTGTCCAAGAATATAACAAAAATTGAGAAGCAAACTTGTCATAGACCATATCTAAAATTCTCTCTCCCTTTTCTCTTTTTTCTTTAGACATGAAATGCTAATCTTTCCATTTCCCTAACCCACCTGGCCCAAAATGGTTTCTCCTTCCTTTGAATTCCCTCTTGTTTAAATGTTCTGTTCATCATCTAATTATACACTATCTCGTATTAACAATTTTTATAAATTTATATCTTATTTTCCTACCTATACTGTAAGTTCTTTAAGGCCCAATGCCATCTCTTTTATTTTTAGTATTCTTCATACTGTCAATAAATATTGACTATTTACTGTTAAAAGATACGGCCAAGAACTCAGATAATCATGAATAAAGATGTTCTCAATTTTTGTTTTTTCCTGACATAGGAGAAAAAGCTTTTCAAATCAAAAGCTTAGGGATCCTTCCACAAAAAGAGAAGGTGTGACAAACAGTAAATTTTTCTCTCTCTAAGTTCTTAGTCTTGGCTTTAAACACACACAAAAAAAGTCCTTTAACATAAATGTTCTCAGCCATGTGCTAAGAGTTTATAAATTATTTTCAAGAACTGCACAAACTTTTCTTCAAAATATACTTATTTTGTAATATGGTTACCAGTCATTATATTATTTCTATTGGAAAGCTATTCTAAAAATAACAAAAAAGTCTCTGAAACCATGTATTATTAACTGATGTGCTATTTATTATATTTTAAATAGTTTTAAGACCTTTAAAAGCCAGATAACAAAAAATAATTACTCTAGAGCTTAGTAAAAGAAACGGCCTTCTTTGGTTGAATGAATCTATTATATTTCAAATTTGTGAAAAATACTTTTCTTCTTTAAATTACATTTACTGTGATCCAAACAAAGACTGCGCAGTAATAACAGTGATTTTGATTGGCTTATTTTACCTGAGTAGCTTTATCTTTCATGCATGAAGGGTAGTGAACATGAGGATCCCGTGGCCACTGTCCTGTGAGGTAAGGTCCTGTTATCGTATCCAAAGAAGAGGTTCGCCTTATTGTACTAGAGGTTCGAACTTGCTGGGATTTTGGCCTGTCCACTATAAAATGTAAAAAAAAATAATAATTTAGATTAGTCATTTATGAGTAAGGTTAATGTTAAAATTATTTGAACTTCAGTTATGAGAATGCCATCATGTCAAGTTTCTCTACAATATATATTTACCCTAATAGCCCTCTTTTATGATCTGATGAAAGTTACAGATCTGCTCCCAAGGAAAATGCACAAACTGAAAAACCAAGCCCGTTGTCACTGAGTCGATTCTGACTCATAGTGACCCTACAGGGCAGAGCAGAACTGCCCCACAAGGTTTCCAGGGAGTGGCTGGTAGATTCGAACTGTTGACCTTTTGGTTAGCAGCCAAGCTCTTAACCACTGCGCCACCAGGGCTTAAGAAAATATATACACATACTAAATCTTGCATAAGGCTTCATCATGTCTCACCTGGACTGCACCCATCTCAACTAAATCTTACAGTGCCACCCACTTGCTAAAAATATTAGTGGTTATTCAATGTCTTCAGCTTAAACTCCATATTATTTAATATGATATAAAAAGCTTTCCCAATTTGGCTTCCATATACCTCAATTTTAAATTTCTTGCTATCAGCTGCCTCTGAGTCAATTCTGACTAACGGGCACCCCATGTGTGTCAGAGTGGAACTGTGCTCCATAGGGTTTTCAATGACTGATTTGTTGGAACCAGAGCACCAAACCTTCTTCCAAGGCATCTCTGGGTGGACTCAAATCTGCAACCTTTTGGTTAGCAGCTACACACATTAATTGTCTGTACCACCCCGGGACTCCTTAGTCTCTTGGTACTCCCCCATAAGTCCATGCTAACTACAAAGTGCCACACAAACTACTTGCAGTTTCCCAAATGCTAAAGGCGTCCTCTCCGCCTCTGTATATTCCATTATTTCCTAAGCCTAGAACTCTCTCCTCCCTTGTTCACTTGACAAACTCTTATTTATCTTCAAGACCAGCTCAGGTGTTACAATGCCTCATTGAAACCTTCCCCAATGCCCTTCTTTCATCCTCTCCTTCCTCCTCTGGCTGAGATATACACACACTCCTCTACTTTCATGGCTTCTCTCTTTCCCCCCATCAGAACGTAAGTTCCAAGAGTGTATGAACACTTCTGACAAACTGAAAAAGAGTTAACGCTCAATACATTCTTAATGAATTTATTCACAACTACACAAAGTAATGTATATAATGAAGCTTGTATTTAATTCAGCTTCCTCAGTTATGGATAAAGAATCTGAAGCTCAGAGAGACTGTCAATTTTCCAGCGAAACAGAGTTGTTAACATACAACAGAGGTAAAAAGGCTTGAAAATCTCCAAGCATTCTACACAGTTCAATCCATCTACTACAACAATCTATTTCTCCTCTCTGTATGGGTACCATAGATACTGTTAAAAACTAAAATTATCATACTAAACTTATATAAGAAACTACAGACAATTTTCCCTATATAATATCCCAAGAAATTTACTACTAATGTGAATCCTATAACAGAATCCAATGGATTTCAAATTCACAAGGCTCAGAGTCTTATTCAGAGTTGTATCCCTTACCAAGCAAAATGCCTTGCACATCACAGAGGGTGAAGAAACATTTATTATTGAATGCTGTCTTTTAAACTACCTTCCTGAAACCAGAAAACACAATGAGTTGTTTACCAGAAAAACAAAAGAAAATTCAATACTCTGATGTTATCATATTACCTATATATCTTGCAACTGCAGTTTTGATTTCTTCTTTGACCCAAGAATTGTTAGAGAAGACTTGAAAATTACCAAAGTTCCTCCCTATCTTTATTACTTAGTTCTAATTTACTGCACTATAGGTAAAGAATCTACTATGACTTCTAATCTTTGGAATTACCTGAAGTTTTCTTTATGGCCAAAAATATGATCAAGTTTTTATAAACATTTCATGACTCATGGAGAAGATATGATTTTAGTAGATAAACTAAATAAAAATATAGACTATAGGAATAAGAATTATCAGCTTGACCTGTCCAACACTTAAAGAAGTACACTAAAATCTCTAAGCTATTACTGAGTTCTAACAATTCTCTTCATTACTTATAATTTTTTAATATTTATATTTTAGTTCTGTATAACTTGGTACACAGATTCATGGAATCATCATTATGGCTCATATGCCTATCATTATAATCTGTCCCACTGATTATGCTTTACCTTCATTTTAAACTTTATCAAACTGAGTATCATTTGGGCTTTCTTTCTGTTATAATTTGCCTGAAATTCCTATCCTTCCATTTTCAAGTTTTTTGAATCGTTTTGTTTTATGCATATCTCTTGTACATAATATATAAATTAGACTTAAAAAAAAAAAACTTTGTAGTAGCCTTATTTTAAAGAGTGAGTTTATCCCACTTATATTTATTGTTATCACAAATTTTATTTTGTCATTTTTTTCCTTATTTTATGCTTCCTTGCTATTTGTTTTCGATATTTTACTGTTTGTTTCTTCTTTTCCCTTCTCCCTACCTCATCACAGGTAATTTCAAAGATATGTAGCCTATTTTTTAATTCTACTTCTAGAGGTTATTTCTATTAATTCTTTTAAATATTTTTTCTGATTATAAAAGCAGTACCGATTCATTTTAGCAATTTTAGAAAATTCAGAAACTTAACATGTTCCCCATATTTTCATTTTCACAGATTTGTTTAAAATTTTAAAAAATTACTTCAGATTCCCTCTATTAAAAAGAAACAGAAGACAAAAAAAAATTACCCCTTGAATGACAAAGCCAATATTTATAGCAGTTGATGCCTAAATGAAAGCCTACATAAAGGTCAGCTATAACTAGAAAAATGAAAAGCCATTATATGTGAAAAGCTTGTGCCTTCTTGAGCATAAACTGCTTACAATTATTTCTAAAGTGTATGTAGTCTACACTCAGCCGTTAAAACTCCTTTTAACTTGTTAAGTAACCAATAGGGACCATTTAATGTTTTATAATAAGTATATGAACAATCAATAAATGAGCTCATTGGTCTATATAATACCATATTCTAATCTATAAAGCAACATCATGATAAACAGAGAAAACATTGAACTTGTCAAGGATTTCACTTTACTTAGATCCTGTCTTAGTCATCTAGTGCCTCTATAACAGGAATACCATACGTGGATGGCTTTAACAAGGAGAAATTTATTTTCTCATAGTCTGGTAGGCTAGAAGTCCAAATTCAGGGCATAAGCTCCAGGGGAAGGCTTTCTCTCTGTTGGCTCTGGAGGAAGGTCCTTGTCATTGATCTTCCCCTGGACTAGGAGCTTCTCCGTGAAGGAACCCTGGGTCCAAAGGACTCACTCTGCTCCCGGCACTGCTTTCTGGTATGAGGCTTATGAGGCTCCCCTGCTCTGCTTGCTTCCCTTTCCTTTGATCTCTTGTAAGATAAAAGGTGGTGCAGGCCACATCCCAGGGAAACTCCCTTTACACTGTATCAGGGAAGTGACCTGAACAAGGATGTTACATCTCACCCTAATACTCTTTAACCACAGGCAGAGATTATGATTTATAACACAAAGGAGAATCACAAAATGGAAGACAACCACACAATTCTGGGACTCATGCCTAACCAAGTTGACACATATTTCTGGGGGACACAATCCAATCCATGACATTCTACCATTGTATTCTCGGTGTTTATATGTGATCACTCCCATAATGGGATCTGCTGTGAGTAGCCGATCAGTTGAAAGAAAGTTTCCTTGGGAAAAGGACTGCATTCAGATATAAGCAGAAGTTCTGCCTTTTTGCTCACTCTGGATCCTCCTGTTGGTCTGACCGCCAGTTCTTGGGACTTGAGCTATCAGCTTATCTGTGGATCTTGGGATTCCTCGATCTTCATAGCCCCTGAGCGGTGCCCTGCTCTCTGACCTGCCAATCTTGGGTTCGCCAGCCACTGCAGCTATGTGAATCAGGAGAAGCCTCTATCCTAATCCACAGACTTGGGATGTTCCAGCCTCTACAAGCATGTGAGCTGTTTCTTTGATATAAATCTATCTATGTACATATTTATACGCTTTACTGGTTTTGCTTCTCTAGAGAACCCAGCCTAAGACAGATCCACAATCAATGCCCATGGAAGCAGCAGTCAAGAGATCAAATGATTACTGCACTGGGAAAACCTGCTGCAAAAGACCTCTTTAAAGTGTTAAAAAGCAAAGAGGTCACTCTGAGGACTAAGGTGCACCTGACCCAAGCCATGGTATTTTCAATCGCCTTTATGCATGCAAAAGCTGGACAATGATTAAGAAAGACTGAAGAATGGCTGCTTTTGAATTATGTTGGTGAAGAATACTGAATATACCATGGATTGCCAGAAGAATGAACAAATCTGTCTTGGAAGACGTACAGCCAGAATGCTCCTTAGAAGCAGGGATGGCAAGACTTTGTCTCATACACTTTGGACATGTTATAGGAGGGACCGGTCCCTGGAGCAGGACATCATGCTTAGTAAAATAGAGGGTCAGCAAAAAAGATCCACATTGAGACAGATTGACACAGTGGCTGCAACAATGGGCTCAAACATAGCAACAACTGTGGGGATAGCGCAAGACTGGGCAGTGTTTCACTCTGTTCTACACAGGGACGCTAGGAGTCGGAACTGAGTTGAGGGCACTTAAGAACAATAATGATCTATAAACCAAAACAAACCAAACCCACTGCTGCCTAGTTGAGTCTGACTCACAGCGACCCTATAGGACAGAGTAAACTGTCCCATAGGGTCTTCAAGGCTGTAAATCTTTACAGAAAAGGACTGCCACATCTTTCTCTCGTGGAGCAGGCGGTGGGTTCAAACAGCTGACGTTTTGGTTAGCAGCTGAGCATTTAACCACTGTGTCCCCCAGGGCTCCCTATTCTGATCTACAGTAATTAATTTTTCTTGTATTGTATTTTAATCACTGGACATTTAAACTGAGTACTCTTATAGGTAAAAATATAAGCACAGAGTAACATGCATAGTTATTTACTTATAAATCAGATATGTACTATC